CCGAGAAAGATCACTGGACGGAGGAATGACCCCCAAGGCCGATCGACACACAAGGAGAAAACTCGATTGGTCTCGAGGCCTACGATGGCGCTCAGCCCTCGAGACAGGAGGAGTGATAGTAAGAGAAGGTAGCCCTTAAACTCCCCGCCAAAATCGAGTCCCCCCTCAACGCGCGGCGTAGGAATGCTAACCTCGGTCGAGTTTGTGCGACATCCTTACCCATGACATGGACTTTGGGTACAGACTTCTCTGTCGACGTGATGTTTGTGTCCTGTTCACAAGACGGATGAGAGCAGTGTCAATGTCACTGCGAGACGACTCGAAAGCAAAGACGTCATCGGCGTACGCGGAAACCTTGGCTCGACCCCCCCACACACCTAGGAGAGCGATTTCACATAGGGCCGGACTGCGCGCCCTGTCCCTCAGCCGGCAAACGTTAAAGTGCAAAGTAGGGGCGATAGTAGACAACCCTGACGAAACGAACGAGACAGACCAAAAGCTTAGTTACGTATATTTCAAACCTAGGATTATAGCTAGAATTAGATATTAGGTATATTTTAAGGTTAGAACATCATTAGCTCTTAGGCATATTTCAAAACTAAGGTTAGTCCTATTGTTAGTTATTATGTATATTTGATTAGAGCTAAAGTTAGTTATTGCATATATTTCAAACTAGTGCTAGGGTTAACTGTTAGATAAATTTCAAAACTAAGTTTTGAGCCAGGTTGAGCTATTAGGAATAATTCAGAGCCCAGGGTACAGCTAGGATTAGCTATTATGTATATTTCAAATCTAGGATTAGAGATAGGGATAGCTATTAGCTATATCTTAAAACTAGGGTTAAAGCTAGGATTAGCTATGATATATAATTTAAGCTTATGGTCAATCTTATATAATTTATGCTTATGGTAGTTATCCCTATCAATAAAAGGCAGGTGTGTGTGTGTGTGTGTGTGTGTGTGTGTGTGTGTGTGTGTAACGAATGAACGGTGGCAATTTTCGACGGATTTGTACCAAAATTTACATGCACATGCTCCAAGTTAGTGGGAAGGCCAAGACCGACTTTGCATTTCCCAACTCCCATCGATGGTGGAAATAATCGCTTTTTTCATGCTTCTAAGGCAATTTTCATGTAGTTTGCGGCCATTTTGTACTGGCCAGAGTGAGAGCCAATAGCTGGCTGCCACGAATAGGCAGGAAGATTCTATTGGCCAGCATGAGAGCCAACAGCTGACTAACATGAATATTAACTAGCATGCAAAAAATATCGATAGTTGCATTCGTCACAAGTGGGAAAAATTTAAATCTGCATGGCACTTTACTCCAATTGGCTCATTCGCTTGCTTAAACTTAATGTTGATTCTGATTCCGCAGAACTGGGTTGGGTGTGAAAAAGTATTTGTTGTTAACATTCTTTTTTCATTCGGTTTTTCCAGTTACGAGTCCCTTTTTTAAAGCTGATCGTTTTGTGTTCATTTTTTTCAGTTCTTTTTTCGTAACAGATTTAATTTTTAGTATAGAGCTTAGAAAAACCTTGCAGTGTGAGATAGGCAAGAAGTAAGGCATGTAGCAACATCAGCACGGCAAAGGGCACTCCTTTAAAGGCAAGGAAGGGCAAAAATATTTTAAGTCAAGTGATAAAGATTGCTGTATGAGTTATATGATTTTTGAATCAAGCATGGGCAATGCTGGGCCATGCTTGAACAGAGCACACAACTAGGAAGCATCACACTGAATCCTAGATTAGAAATAGGTTCAGTTGTCCTAGAGCTGTCAAGATCACCACTGATATCAGTGGCTCTATCACAACCCCATCATGGAAGTTATAGCAAGTAATAAAGGAAAAGAGAAGATTTGCTTCCAAGGGTTCATGTATACAAAACAGATTGAAAGATCAACTACTATCAGATGAAAATGTGTTAAGAGAACATTTTTTTGTAAAGGTACCATGACCACCAGCCTTGATATGACTGATCCTGTACCAGCTAAAAACCACAACCATGCTTCTGATTAAGCAGCTATTGCATCCATGAAATGCATCAACATGAAGAGAAAAGCAGCAGAAACAGAAAGTCAACCTATCCAGTTTTATAGCATTAAACTGGATGACTTATTGTGCCATTTTTTCCTATTTTCCCACTTGTGCCATTTTTACCCGTGCCATTTTACCTGCGCCATTTTAGATAATGAGACAAAAGTTTGATAAAATCATTAAAACTTCAATAAAAAGAATAATATGCGCATGTACACGTTTCTTCAGACTTTGTTCTGGCATAGCCACCTATGTACAGATGATTTTAGGATTTATGTTAATATGTTATTGAACAGCTTATGCAACTGTAAAATATGATTTAGCGTTGAAATTAAATTAACCTTTACATTTCTTTACATGAGATTTTTCAATTATCTCCCGTAGATCTTTTTTTTTTCCCCCAACAGGAATTTTTCTTTAGTGCTGAAATTATGTTTTCATTATTTCACATTTTAACTACTAGTTCCACTTTCGCTTTTAGTTTTACTTTTACATAAACTTTTAGCCGATATTTTACCTTTATTTTACATCAGATGCCTCGTACATTCGGTGGTCTTTAGAATTCACAGTCTTTTTCTTGTTACGATAAAAAAAAAACAAGCAACTTCAAATTAAATCCCCAAAACTTCCAGATACAACATACGTCTGAGGAAATTCTGAAGTACATATCAACTAAAACTGAATTAAAAACAAAGAAAATATCCGAAAAATAGGAGAAATTAAAAAAAATGTTACAAGGGAAATAACTCAATATATATTTACAGTTATTTCCCTTATTTTATTGGTCGCAAATGACGAAAAGTGGTTAATATTAATGAAACAGCTTTTTCATATTAATCTTAATATTGTGTTTCTTGTACAACTTGTGATTTAATAATAAATAATCAAGAGGCAAGAAAGCGATGAGTTCGTGCTAGCTATAAAAACAGGTTTTGAAAACATTATCAATATTTTTAAAATCTGAATGATATATTTTATTGGGAACTCAACTATCTTGTATCATTTTTTTTTTAATTTCTTTATTTTTTCTGTGGATATCTTTTTTCATATTCACTACACAAATTTGTAAATGCTGCACCAAATATCAATGCAAAAAACAATTTCCTTTAAAAACAATGGTGCTGGACTTCATATGTATACTTGTAGTTAAGTGCATGACTAAAATTCATTTTAACTATATTTCTCATAAATTTCTAACATCTCATAGTCAGACATTTCTCATTGATTAATTTGGAACTCTGCACCTTAGACGCACTTTGCTTAATTACTTCATTGTGTTTTATATTTGATATTATTGCAATGCATCAAATATGACCCCTTCACCATCATCATTTCAGGAGATATATATTTCATTTTTATAGAGAAAAAGAATGAAAACAACTTTGATAAACAGACAGATTAATTTCTTTTTTATGAACATAATACAAAGTGAAACTTTCTTGCTTGTTAATTGTTTAATTATTAATTAAAAGTATGATTCAGAGCTCTTTTTATCATCTACATTTAAACATTCTTTGATGGAAACACTTCATAGAAATTAAAATCTATCATTATTTTTCTTGTTAATAAGAAGAACCACAAAAATCCAACAACATAATCCTTGCAAGTTAGATTTACAGCACAAACTTCAATATTAAAAAGTATTTTATTGGTTTTAAATAATGTTATATCCATTTATAAATTGCAGAAAATAATGACAAAAATACTATTCTTAACTTTTAAGAATTTTACAAAAGACAATATTCTATTTTTTGCTTTGCTCAATTCTATTACATTAAGAATGCAATGGCCTTTTTGAACTAAGCAATATGGTTGAATATTGTTTTTATAAGTTTATTTCACTTTTATCAAATATATTTCCTTACATCATTTCAATGAATGGCATTCAATTTAAATGATCACTGGCTTCATAGCTTGTTAAACAGCTTATGGCAGTAGAGGCAATATGTTTTAAAAAAGGTTAAAAAGCTTTAAGCATGCTGCAGCTTGATACATATAAGAATGTTCTTATATAAACTAAAACCAGATCTCTTTTGTGCTGATTTAATCAATGTTTAATCAGACTCAGGATGTTTTTTAAGGCTTTTAAAGATAGAGAAAATGTTGATAATTAAGTTCATTTTTTTTAACAATCAGTATTTTTTGTTCAACCATCCAAATTAGTTATCACATTGCACCACATAATTAATGAGTAATTAGAAAAGAATTGATGCAATTAGTAATCAAATTGTACCACAAAATTAGTGGCATTAAACAAAATATTAAAATGAAACTCCTAGGTTCTCCTACAATAACAAAAAACAAAATAACACTTGAACTCAAAACAAAAGCAAGATAAAAATTGATTCTATTTTTTTTTTCTTTTCTGTTGTTTTCCTTTGCTTTGTTTATTATCCCATTTAAAAAAGCAAAGAACAACTGCTGATAGTTGAGGCCAGACCATACATGAAGCAGACAAAGAGATAAAAACTAGCAAAGAAAGTCTGCATGTTTGCCAACGAAAGAAGATTTAGGGGAAAAGAAAAATGGCAAGAATATAGAAAAAAAAAGTTCTAAGAATCTTCATCCTCCTGTGAGATTTGATAAAAAAAAATCATCATTTAGAAACTATCAAAGAGAAAAGAAAATAAGTAAATAAAAAAAAATGGATATCACCACTCAGGTTATTAATTTTTAATCTTTAAAATTTAATTTTTAAAAATAAGTATGGTTTCTAAGAAAATAAATTAGTTGGGTAAAAAGAATTGATTTTTTTCTTCTTTGTAATTTTATGTACTAGTCATTTTGCAAAGAAAAAAACAAATTCAAAATCACTAAGAGTCCAAGACAAAAGTGAAGAGTTGTATAAAAGAAAAGGTCAGTTGAAAGAAGAGAGAAAAAATTATAAACTTATTAGATTACAGTGTGTAAAAGAATTTTAAAAGATAGAGATTGCATTGAAAGCAAAGATGATAAAATATAGCAAGTATCATTGCGATCTTTCACAGCATTTTTCTAACAATTCTTGCTGTGACAATTCTGAAGCATCTGTTGCCTGTAAGTCAACAGATATACCCATTAGATTTTGCCTAAATGCATTTTTGGTGCTTGTGTATGCCATTTTCTGTTTCAACAATGCTTCTGATGGAGTCCTAAAAAGAAACAATATTTTAAATTAAGACATGTGAAACAGATGAAGACAAGAAATTCTACAAAAAGGGAAAAAGGGAAAACCTTTTTTTAGCAAACCTATTTTTATCTTAATTATCATGAAGTGAAGTTATAAATTAAATTTTTATTCTGAAATTGTTTATTCACGTATTCACTTTTTAGTTTATTCTGGCTAATTCACCAAGTCTTCAATGGATATTTTTCTAGCAATCCTACGCATTAAAATAATATTACCATCTTCACAAATGATAAGTACTGAAGTTATATTGTTTAAACTCAAAAAAGTTAACTAGCACTCTGATTTAAGAATTATGTATATTAAAAAATGCCATAGGTTTAAAACAGAGATAATATCAAAGGGAAGCTGCTGCTGCTGTTTTCTGTCTTGTTTAGGAGTAAAATTAAGTGAAATGCCCAAATCCATATTAAAAATTCATATAAACATATTTCTGTAATAATTTTAAAACATTACTTTGAAAAAAAGATAAAATGACAATATAAACATATTTCAGTAATATTTGTAAAAGTTCCAAAGATTTGCTAAAATATGAGCATATTTTATGAAAAATGCCCAAAACTTAAAAAAAAATGTTTTATTATTAAAATATGTATTATTATTATATTTTTTTTATTTTTTCAGAACCTTCAAAATTTTGGTTAAAAATTTTGTTTTTCTTGCAGTAGTGGGTGACCATAAATTAGTATGAGAAATTTTAGCATCTTTTTGTGGTGAAAAACATATTAAATTCTTGCAAAAATCAGATAATTGTCATATTTTATTTTCATAAAACTTTTGAACTTATTCAAAAATGAGTGAAATTATTTTTTGTCTTTTTTAAAAAATTTTGACAAAAATATTTTTTTACATCTGTTACCCCCCACTTAATCAATTTTATGAATTTTTAAGAAATTTTTTTTGGGGGTGCGGAATAGGACACCCACTTACAGAAAATCTACTTTGAATCATAAAATAAAAAATGTAATAAAACTAGGACATTATTTAATTAGAAAAGCTTTTAATTCCTTTGATGAATAATATATTTTATGAACACTATATTCTTAAGAAAATTTTTTTTCAATGAATAATGAATTTTTACATGAATAATTTTCTTTTTTTTCAATTTTAGTTATAATAATTCATAAATTCTTAAACCTGTTAAAATTCTATATTAATTTGTACTGGTTAGGTGATATTGTTATTGAGTAAAAACTATATTAATCATAAATAGAAAAATTTACTACAATTCAGTACTTTTAAAATAATTTTGAAATTTTTTTTGTTTGTTTATACACACAAAAAAATCATGCTGATCTTTGTAAACACACATACCCACATGGCATTATCAGAAAATAAGAGTGGTAACTATAGTACATTTAAAATTTATTGGTAATTTTCGACCATTTCTTCAACAATTTCTTCATAAGTAAGACCTAAAATTCAACAAAATATTAGATTGCTTAGAATATGTTCATATTTTTTTTAAGATTAGTGGGTAGTTAAAAAATTATATAAAAATGTGCTCACATTATATTCAAGTAAATTTTACAGTTCTGTCCCCATATTAAAAGTTCCCAAACAAGAGTGTTGACAACACCTCATTAAAACATCCACCTTCCTGATAAAAATGAATTTCTGCAATATTTTAAATTAAAGTAAGTAATATTTGTTTCAAATCAGATTAATTAGACCTTAAATCAAATACTCTTCCTCATATAAAGTTTCAGAAAAATATATTTTATTTTTAAAAATTTTTTTAATAAAGAGAATCATGTTAAAAACAGATTTGCTAATATGGCTGTTTTAAGCAATTTTAATGATTTAAATTCAATTTTGCTTATAGGAAATATTAAATTTAATCTATTAGCCTGAAATTAAAATTAAAATAAAAGATTCAGGAAAGGTTTATCATTTTTAAAAATGCATTTTAAACCTTACTGTTCTCTTGAGGTACCTATTTTTATCAAAAGATAAAAAAGATAATGTAAACACAGTTCAGTAATATTTGTTTTCAGTCTCCTTCAGGTCTATGCCATATTCAGTAACCACTAAGCAGTTTTCAACAGAACATTTAGTTTCATTCAGAGATTTTCTTTACATTACCTCTAACATCCTCTTTAAAGAGGATTTAAATTCACAGCATCTACTAATGATCATACTTTATAATGCTTCCACTGAGACTATATACCCCTAACTTGGAACAGAATCATAGCATTCTATATTTCAGACCAATAACTGGTGCAGAGAAAAGAAGGCCTATTTCAAAAACATAGAAATTAAAAGCATAATTAATTTGATTCAAAAGAGGAATCCCCTTTATCTTGATATATTTTATATATATAATTTTGCAGACTTTTGAATCCATCACCCCCACCACCTGTTAACAAGGATGTACAAAGGTTTATATGCATTTTTCATCTTTGATAATTATCCACCTTAAAACTGTTTTAATAAAACAAAAATCATATCAGAACTATGAATTCTGGAACAAAAATATGACATGAAACAAACATGAAAATAACTTTTTTATTTTATTTTTTTGTTATAATGCTGACTTATTGACTTTTGTTGTAATGCTGATTTATGAATATACTATTTAGGATTATAGAAGTAACTAGAAAAAATTGACTTTTAAAAATGCACAGTTTAGTAGCAGGTTAACATTTCATACACCTCATTTATGATATCTAAAATATCAAATTAAATTTATTGAATTTAATTATATGACATTAACTTTATGTAACACCATTCCTAAAAAAATCACTTTTTCATTAATTTTGTAATATAAAAAAATTACATTTTCTCCTATTTTATGTTTCTTTTTTAATAATAAATATTAACCGTTTTAATAGTAACCGTTTCCATATAAGGAACCATTTGGCATTGAGTGACCAAACAGTTAGTGCTACTGTCAGTTGAAATTTATAAAATCTTTTTTTTTTTAATTTTTCAGAAAAATAATTTTCTCAAATCCTCTGTTATCACTTTTTCCAGTATTGATAATGGCTTCCTTCCTAACCTTTTTGTTTGAAGTAGCATCGAATGTCAGTATGATGACAGTATAGATATTTCTGAACAGGTTTAGTACCAGGCATATGAAAAAGTCAATCTGACAAAGTTATTTAAGAACATTATTTAAATTTATAGGCAGTGCTAGACAAAACTCTCTCTAGTGCAGCCTAATGGCAAACTGAAACTCAGAAAGAAAAACATAAATTACTCATAAAAGAATTAAATCTTATTATCAATATATTTGCTGATATGAATAACAATATCATAGAGAAAAATATTAAATTGATTTTATGTGACAAATAAAATAATGTCATTTTTAAACAAATTTCACAGTATAAAAAAAGAATTGAATAAAAATGTTTGGAAGAAACGTCTCTGTTAAACATAACAAAATATAAAAATTAATTTTCTTCAAAGCAACTCATCTGATACTTATGAATTTTGTTTGATGGGAACAAACAATCCATAAAATTATCATTTTTTAATCACGCAATGTTTACAAATACACTACTCTATTGGAAGGATATGGTAATGATAAAATATGATATAATATGATATGGTAACGGGACAATATGAAGTTCAGTCAAATTACAACACAGAGAAATTTTAAATTCCATAATAATAATTGCTTACCATAAAACAAAAACCAACTTTTGCCGAGACATTTGGTTGTGTGTATATTCAAAGTCATATACTGCATAGCGGCACTCTTTGCTTTCCACTGTACTCAAGAGGGTTGTGACAAAGTCATTATAGGAGTCGTCTGAAAATAGAAACAACAGCTGAGATGAAACTGATTTGTCGCTATTATATACATTCTCATGGTCCATATTACCTGATGTCATGTAACTAAAAACAAAGTAAATGATAAATCTTGTATCCTATTCACCCTAATCAGAAATAGATCTTTATAGAAACCTTGAGGAAGATAAGTTGGTTTATAAGATTGCACTAACCATAAAAAGAAAATTAAGTAACTATTAACCAGATCTGTAAAAAAAAAGTGAAGCTTTGAAATCTATGAAACAAATGACAAGAAATTTGTATAAGTTCATAATATGGGCATAAAAAATCATATTATATAAATAAAAAAATTAAAATATTAAAGAAGCCAAACTTTCTTATAGTTTCTTTTATGGTGTTTATAGAAAACAAAGTATTTTTTAAATCTGCCTATAGAGAGTGGGTTAATAGTAATTAATTACTTTTTCAAAACATTAACACAAATCACTGTGGTAATTTAATTAAATTATATGAAACATGTGAACTACCTAGAGCCTTCAAGGTCAAGATCCTTATGGTATGACCCTAGCTCTGACAAATGGTCTGTACCTCAGAAATAGGCTCATCCTCCTACCAACTCTTCTAATTCTGAATTTGAACACTCTGTACATCAAAGTAATGTGTCAGGTGGGCACTAAAGCTGAATAAATTAAATAAAGCTTCTTAAGCTTCTACTTAGAGTTGTTACAATTATTATTATTATTATTGTTATTATTATTATTATTATTATTATGAGGAGGAGAAGGAGAAGGAGGAGGATATAATTTGGAAGTTTAAAAAATATTTTGGATCAATTAGTGCACAGCCAAGCAATGATAATTCCTGCTTGACTTTGTTACAAGGCCAAATTTGGAGAGCATTATAGTTCTTTCACATATTTTAATAATTTAGTAAATGTTTATAAATTTATGAATAAAAAGATTGTTTTCATATTTCTTTCTTTATAACTTGGTAAGCGATAAATATGGTATTGCATTAGTTTTAATACAATTGTATATTACTTTTTAGAATGTTGTAAATGAAAAATTCTGAAAAAACAAACATTCTGTCGGATTTATATCCATTTACACTTGCTTATATAATGTTGTAAATATAAAATTATTCTTATAAATAAAACATCTAATAAATAGTGTTTAATATTTTTGTTGTAAATTCTCAAGAACAAAAAAATGTATAAATTCATTTTCATGATATGTTTAGGTTTTATTACAGTTTTAATCATCATTTTTGAAAACAATAAATATTGACAAAGGAATGAAGGTAATTAAAATAATAGTGATGTCAATGGAAAAACTGTCTTTTTGACATTCCATTTTTTGCAGAACATGAAGGTCCAAGTTTACCAAACAAAACTTGTTAACTGATATAAAACATAAAAGCACTAGTGCAACAAATCCCAAATGTTAGCATCTGATAGAGAGAATCAGATATTCACTCTACATTCTTAAAATTATTCAATATATTCTACCGAAATAAGACCAGTTTTTTCTCATAGGGGAATTGACAAAACAAAATTTTTGAAGAAACTAGTAGCCAAGTTTCATAAGATAGCTGACACAAACAGTTCAACACGTGGAATCTGATTTCCTGGTTTTAATCATAAACATGGCCACCCCAAAATGGTAGAAAGGAAAAAGAATGACATGCTCTCATTTTTTAGAGGGAGAGAAATTTTTATTCCACTTTAAAAAAAAGCAGTGTTTTAAAGAGGAAGAACTAAAAATGAATGACATTTTAAAAGCTTAAAAGAATAAAAATAAATTGATTAAACACACTATTATCAATGAGTAAATATCCACATTTGATTTTGTAGCACTGACCAGAATAAACTAAAGACCAATAACAGAAACATTAAATTGTTTGCCAAACCTACAATACACAATGTACACTGCGTGCCAAATTATTATCGAGATAACTTTTTTTATAATATTACAAAAACCGTCCAATCAATTCACACAAAATTTTCACACAATGTTAGCAACACTGACCTGCGCAATCACTGAAATTTTTGACCTGATCTGCGCAATGTAAACAAACTGGCGCCATATTTGTTATCAGTATGGTGATTTGAGCGTACCAAATTATTAGAAAGGTTTAGTAAAAATCCCAGAATTGAGCACACAAAACGTTTATTAATGTTGCACGTGAATGTTTATGATCAAAAGAAGCTAATAAATAAGATAATCAAACAAATAATAACAGATACAAACAAAGGCACAGTTTTAAACAAATTAATAGGGAATGTGCTTTCCCTTTTTTGAAATTACTTGAAGAAGTCGACGATCCATAGAATTTGTTAATTGTAGGATGTCATCTGCTGTAATGCCGCGAGATATGTCAAGAATTGCTTCCCACAACACAGCGTTGCTCCTGAATTGTCGTCCGTTGGCATACAGTCTTCGCTTCACGATACTCCAAAGGTTTTCGATTGGGTTCAGATCCGGAGAATTTGCTAACCACTTCATTTTTCGAGGTCCATCGAAGCCAAACTGTTTCAAATATTCAGTAGTCTTGTGAGCAGCATGTGAGGGAGCATTATCTTGCATAAAAACAATGGCCCTTCTGAAGGCATCTCTTTGCCTTTTCATCCACGATTCAAGATGCTCCTTCATAAATGCTATGTATGCTGCATCAGCAGTCATTTTGACGCCATCTGGTACTCTCCATGGGCCTACTAATGTTTTTCCAATAATACCACCCCAGATCATTATGCCTCCACCGCCTTGTTGGCGTCTCAAACGCTGATGGTGATTCTGTCTGTTCATTACCCAGCCTTTGCACCATCTATCTGGCCCATCAAGTGTTGCTCGAGTTTTGTCTGTGAACAAAACTTTAGAGAAGTCAATCTTCATATTGTCCTCGGCCCATTTCAATCGAATTTGAAAGTGATTTCTCGTCAACGGAGGCTTCGATACAGGTTTGACTGTTGTTGCTATTTCCCTCAGATAACGACACCGAGTACTTTTAGACACAGTAGGATCCCCAATGCAACTGAAAATCTCATGGCTGGTAAATCCAGGGTTCTTTGTGGCCTTTGTTTAAGTCGTGACATGAGATGATGTGAAATAACCCTTGGCTGGCCTTTATCTGCCCTTTTGCGTACTTGTGTGGGGTCAACGGTGAACTTTTTCGCTGTTTGATGACACCTCCCTATCACTTTAGAAATCTCTAGGGTAGATTTACCTTTTGAGAGTTCTGAGGTGATAGTTTTCTTTATAGCATTTGTGGCCCATCTTTTTACTAAATTCTTACACTTTTCTAATAATTTGGCACGCTCAAATCACCGTGCTGGTAACAAATATGGTGCCAGTTTGTTTACATTGTGCAGATCAGGTCGAAAATTTCAATGATTGTGCAGGTCAGTGTTGCCAACATTTTTGAAATATTATTAAAAAAGTTATCTCAATAATAATTTGGCACGCAGTGTATATGATGTTACATAAAAGTAACAAAGTATATAAATTATCAGATTTGAATAAAATACATAAACCTGATGTGATTCATCATTAACATATTCACAAGCAAATTACTCATTGTTTGTCTACTTATTGAATATATCATGACCCACAAAAAAAATTATGCATTTTTAAAAATGAAAGTACATCAACAACTAACAGACTTTGAATACAAGAAAATTTATAATCAGAAATATGTAAAATTGAATGCCTTGATAAATAATAGGTAATTGTCAAACAGAACCAACTTTATTTATTAAACTACAAATAAGAAGTTTACTGATTAAAATTAAGCCCTAATCATTAACAACTAATTATTAATCCCCTATTTATTAAACTCCTAACAAGGAAAGAATTTTGTCATGAAAAGAAATCTCCATTATAATAAATTATAACTTATAAATTCATAATCTTATGCTAGACAATTTTTCTCTGTAGTATCTATGTCTACCATTTGACAATGCTTAGAATATTGCTGCCACATAGGGTTTGGTGCTCCTGCTATTTACCTAGAGCCCCTTGATAAAATCTAAAGAAGAGTCAGCAATATTATTGGCCCTATTCTGGCATCAGAGCTTCATTCCATTTCCCAACACCATAAGTTTTCCTTCCTGTGCCTTTTCTATAAATACCTTCATTGTAATTGTTCAGATGAGAGCTCTCCATTATGGTACCTAGACTCTTTGAATGTAAGCACAGTACTAAACTGACGATGAGTTCTCATCAAATTAAGGGTTGAGTTGGCTAGATGTGCCATAAATTCTACGCAAACAGTTTCTTTTCTTGCACTTCTCACTTGTGAAACTTCTTTCTGGCTTTATGCTTTCCAGCAAAATTTAATCTGTAAAAATTTAAATGCAATGTCAATCACTATCTACTGCCCTCCTGATTACTCTTCTTCTGTTCTTGTTACTTACTGCACCCAGTAACCATTATGTCTCAATGGCTTTACTGACTCGCTTGTGGTGAAATTGATTAAAAAAATTATAAGGACTGAGTAAAATATTAATTATGACTAACTAACAGAATAATGCTTTTTGATATTTAAAGAAACATTCTCATTTTTTTTTTACATTAAAATAGAATCTACTTGTATATTTTCAAATATACTACAGAGAGGCACAAGTACATAAGAAATTGTTAATTCTATATATATATATATATATATATATATATATATATATATAAAAGTGAACATAGAAGTCAACACTTAGAGGCAACAGTCTGTTTCATGCTATATGCAATTGTCAGGCCACCATATAGATAGATAGATAGATAGATAGATAGATTGCGGGCCCACCGTGTGGAGAGGTAGTGAGTTTAATGGGCTGAAACTTTAGCTGGTCTGGAGCACTTGAGGTGTACATGTGTTCAATACCTCTGGTTCTCCAGTGACAACCATGAAAGGATGGTGATGACCATGATAGCGCAGTGACATCCATGCTCTGAGTTTTTGCAATCAGCAGTGTTTATGTGTGATCAGGTTCTACAGCAGTTCTTTATGGCCACTGTGGACTGGCCTGCA